CTGCTTCCACAAGCTACCTAGGGTGCCTACCGGGTGTATCGATATCGACAGAAACCGTCGGAAATTTGTTCGCGGTATGTTACGTCAATGTCGCGACGCGGCTATTTGAGTGACACCATTTGCCGGCAATTTGATACGTCGCGCGTGACGGCTGGTATCAAAACCGGCGATCCAATCGGTAACGATTGTGTCACAAACTGTAACGCACTTGGTGGAATGCTTCGATTCGTTACAGTCGGGTGAAGTGTATCGATCCCAGATCTATCGAATCCATTTCGAAACCTTAAAAGCATGGCTTCAAGCGAATGTGCGGTTTCGAATCGAATAGCCCAGTCTAGCTCGCTTTTGCAAGTTTTGGCGGGCTTCAGCTTCGAAATCAGTGAAGCCCGGAGCGGAGCATGAGCTAAAGCCTAAAAGACAGCTTGCTGTCCAGAACGTTAGAAGGGCGCCAAGCCTTCAGCTGCCAATCCCTTTTGAAGAGATTCGGAGCTGCAGGGCTTCCGCAACAATTGCTGAGCCTGGGTCCTTCCGTTGTGCAAAACGAATCCTGGTGAAGTCTGCCTTTTTACCAGTCCACCCTGACTTTCTGCTCTAGAAGCAATGATCCAGCCAGGTTGGGCAGCGCCAATGCAGAATCAGCGAGCTTCTCTCAGCACTGGTGGCTTCTCTAGCCAATCAGCGTTTCAAACGCCATCAAGACAGCAGACCTCCGTTTCAGAAGCAAACGTGGAGCAGGGGCCTGAGACGACGTCTCCATTGAAAAAGCGCACAGACATCTCGCCAAGGCACTACTTTGAGACGCTGCTTGCCAGCCCTATGTTCAAGAGAGCTAACCTGGACTCTGCTGCAAAAGAGGATCATGGGATCAAACAGTGGTTGTTGCATAACATTGTGTGGTTCTTCATTGTGAAGAAAGGCTTGGCAGATTTGACCAATCTGTATGCGGGAAAGCAGGATGGCATCATCATCAACAAGCTCTTCAAGCCCAAAGAAGCGACTGGTAGGTTTACATCAGGATGCTTTTGAAAGCTCAAGTGCAAACATTGCACCCTATGCAAAAGCCTTCTCTGAGCCTTTATTCTCTTACGCCTAGCTTGGGCAGATGCTTATCTGTGCTTGTCTGGACCACTGAGTACTCAGCTAGTAGGTGAAATTGAAAGCAGGATTTAGAGTAAGTGCTTGAAGAAGTGACGGTGTTGAGTGCTATCCTGAAACCTGTGTGTCTTTTGATGCATTGTGCAGACGTTGAACCCCAGCAGACAGGCGTGCGCAGCGCCAATGGTCTGGTCGTAGACGCCCCTACTCTGGAAAGACTGGCCAATGCATCAAGCAGTGGTCGCTCGATCCGCCAGCAGCACTCTCATATCGCTCAGCAGGTGCACGGAATCCTTGACAAGAAGCGGGCTAAGTCGGCGCAGCTGGCAAACACCTTCAGGGATGGTGATCCTGGAGACAAAGGACTGCGCAGGAGGTTTCTGGTTTTGAACGAGAGATTTCTCAGTCCCGACGAGCGGCAATTCAGTTTTGCAAAGGAGTGGGCCACAGTGCATGATCGCGGAGTTGACCCAGAAGCCAAAAGGCTTTTCGCTGTATTTGAAACTGAGAATATTGAGGAGTTCAACTTCCTCGTAGGGCCTATGCTTGAAGGAGAGTACGGCGTCGCCCCCTGGAGTGTAAGTCCTCTAGACCATCCTGTAATGTCTCTGGTTAGTGGAATGTCCCTTGAAGCAAGCTCAGCAGTGCTCATTAGTGCTCAGCAGTGCAGTGAGTTATGCAACAATCTTACATGATGCTATACTCACCAGTTCAATTCTCTTTTTGTGATCACATGTATCAAGTGCAGAATCAGGTTGACCAGTGTTGGGCACAGCAAAGAGTGTTATCCTGCCTGAGCTGCATCAACCTGCGCTTGTGTGTCACTAACCGGAGTGACAGTCTTCTTACTCTTGACTGCCCCCCCTTCAATTGACGCGCAACATATCTGGTTTATTCGTCTTGCAGACTCAGATCAAGGTGCTGCCCCAAACCCCTGCCTCACACAACTTCTCTTCAGAAGAAGAGGCTGCCGCACCCGCAGCCACTGAGCTTCCGTTCTGCACGTTCGACCTCGAGGATCGCGTGGAGGTACGTGTCTCCAGGCCATTCTGCCCTTTTGAGACCAAGAAGGAGGTGACTCTTCAAGAGTGCGACGAGCTGGAGGACGCCATCCCGCCAAAGAATCTGTTGATTCTGGGTGGGAAGATGCCGGAGTACCTTGACTACGACTTTGACAAATTTGAACAGGGGTAAGCGTGCGATTCTACTTCATGGGTGTGATCATTCAAAACTTTTCCCCTCCTAACCCAGGCTAGCTGGCCTGATCTTATATATGCTGCAAGCAGGCAACTTGGCTTTGAGCAAAAACCACAAGAAAGTTGCACGTACCCAAGTGGACTGTAGAGTTGACTCTAACAAGGCATCTTGAATATGTGTCAGAAGCTTTACATACGGCTTCATTGGACTGCCTTCTTTTGAGTGCCATTTGATCGTCAAGCAGCTTACTAGCTTACAGTGCTCAGATTACGTTCTCTTTGACTCATCCTTCTCATGATTAACGAGCGTTTCTTTATCCTGCAGACTCCAGCACAAGCGGAAGTACGACGAGATATCCACCACAAACTTCCCCGTCAGTGACTGGCGCAATGAAATCTCGTTGCCCTACTCAATCGACAGGAGTGAGAGTAAGCGGTCCATCCAGGCAGGAGCCTTTGTCATCTCGTTCAAGAAACGCCCGCTTGCTGAGAAGAGAAAGCTGATTTTGAACGCGGATGATGACTCGGACAATGATTGAGTGCTTCTGAAGTTGCTCGTAAATTGCCATCTACACTTACAAATTCATTGCGCCATGTGATCTTGAATAGATGCAGTGTGACCAAGTGTCTTCTATGTACAACTTAGTCAGCTGTTTTCAAAGCGAGCAGCATCTAACAATTGGCTTGCTAATTCGTTAACTGCGTGCTTGCCTTTAGTTCATATATTAAGCAAACGCTATGATTTGAAAACAACCATATGATTGTTAACATGCATTGCATGTGGATCTCCGATTCAATAAAGGCACATAGCTCCTCATTGTGCATTGAATGCTATCTAGTTGACTAAACATTCGAACATGTTGCTCATAAGAACATGCCACATGATGGCCATGCGAAGAGCACGATACTAATTGTGCGAGCAGAATGAAATCAAGAGACGTGCAATCAGTTCGACTTTGCAATCATATGCAATCAGTTCGACTTTGCAATAATCACAATCATTGAAGCTTTTCTTGGCAAAGTTCGGTGAATCATAACGCGCAAGGATCTGCCGTCTGTCCAAACTTTACACTTCCTAGCCAACAATAGGTTACATAACACACTACTGTCATATATACAAGTATGAACGAGTTTCCTAGAGACACCTTGTAGTACTGTGACAGAGGCCTAGACAGGCACTCGGGCAAAAGCTTCGAAACATTGGCTCAGGTACGGGTCCCCGTTGCCACTAGATGCATCCTTGGTGATCACTTGCTCTCCCTCAGCAGCAGAGTGATTTTGGGCGGACGCAGAGCTAGTGGTGGGGTGCATGTGGCGGCGTCCATGCAAGATTCCCCTTGCCTTTGAATCGAAGTCCTACCCGAGCACCTGCCTAGAGCTCTCCATCGCAGACTACGAGATACCTCTTTTCTTTGTTCTTGGATCCTCCTCCACACCGAGACCACGGCTCTTCTTCACAGCCTGCCAAGCCTTAGTGATTGAGTTCACAAGGATATCTTTATTCACCTTATTCTGCATCCTCCGGATCTTCGGCTCCAGAACGCTCCAAATTTCCGTGGCTTGCTTGGCCGACTCTTTCGAAAATGGTTTGCCGAACAGATCTGCAGTAAGAAAAGCACGGTCAGGTTATGTCATCTTCCTCTCTCGCTCAAATTCGGAGCCTATTACAAGTCTGAATGGAACCACCTGTCCGAATTGAAGCCGTTCTAAACCGGACTTGTCGGAACCAATCACCTTTCAGACGAAACCAGTCGCTAAATCAGCCTACTGCCTCGACCGAGCCTGTGCAACAGGCTTTAGCCAGCCTGCACATTCGAAACGCATGTATTCGAAGCACCAAGAAATACCCCGTCCAAATCTGCACTACCCTAGTGTCCGGACAGCGACGCAAAATCGGACGCAGGCACGTGCGGCCCCGCAGAATCTCGACTTCCAAGACTGCAAGACGCCAACAAAACAAACAGCCTCGAAATTCAGAAGAGCATCGAGAACGCCCCCTCATCCCCTCAGATTTTGCACGGCCCTAGATTGGGGACAACACCATGCCACAGATGTCGAGCGCACCACTTCGCAACACTGCAAACCCAACATACCGTCCACATTTGCAGGACGTTAGACTCCGGACAGCCTTGCAAACTCGGACGCAGCAGCCACGTGACGCAAAGTTTGACTCGTCCACCGTTCGAATGGCAGCCCGGAATCCTCGGACAGAATAAAGCGCTGAACCGTGAACCACTTCATTCGAACCTGGCAGCATAACCTTAGGCGACCACGTACATCTGGAGAGAGCTGAGTGCAGTAAAACAATGGAAAATCGAACCACTTTGAAGGCGACTCTCTTGCGCCACAGTGAGTCTCTTTATCAAGATGCTCACCTAGTTCCGCTTGCCGGATGCCGTTCTTGTAATACCTCGCAAGCTGGGCTTGAACGAAAATATCAATCACTTCGGACGAGTCGGGGATGCTCGATTTCGCCCTCTGAACAGCGCCTGTAAGAGGAACTGAACGGTAGCTCAGTGGCCCGACTCATGTAAGTTCAGAAACCACCAACAAAAGCACTCGAAAAGAACCTCTCCCAAGAGGGAGAAGCCACCCTCCCAAAGCGCTGGCGCTCGCCCGAAAGGAAACACAAGGAACGACAAACATTTTAACAAAGGCGCAAACGAAACCGCGAACAAACACTGTGAAGTTCTGCCCCAGACCAGGGACGTTCTTTAGTATTTCAACGTTGCTCAGATTCCAACCAGACAAATGATTAACGGTCTCTTCGAAAAAGGCAAGAGCAGTCACGTAACGCAGACCACTGTTTGCACTGAAAAGATGCTAACCCGGACGAAGGGACTGCCGCGCGCACGGAACTTGAAAAGCTGCGGTCCGTTTTCAGCTTCCATATACAAACGCAGAGAATCTTACCTGCGTATGAGAAAGTGCAGCCGGCCTCTACCGTGGCATCAACTCACACGATTTGGACCCCGACGGCCAGGTTCGCCCCCGACCCTTGAGGAATCAGGGCCTCGATTTTTGAGTGGGGGCTAAGCAGGCTAACCCCGGTACAAGGCTTTCCCCCGATGGTCACTTGTATCCGAGCGTTCACTCCGGTCCCAAAGTGGCGTCCACTGACAGCGAAGTGCCCACCCGGCGCACCTGACTTTGTACACGCCAGGACGTGCGGTCGGGAATAGGGAATTGAGGTTTCAGGGTTGGTAAGGCTAGACAACCCGTCAAGGGACACTTGAACGAGTGCGCGGCCCCCGGCGCCGGGAGGAACTCTCACGAGCAAGGACGTGTGCTCAGCGACCAGGCGAGCGGAGGCTGGGATACCTCCTGCGAGCACAAAATAGAGAAGGTTGCGTTATTTCCTTTCACGCAACTGCGAAAAGAAGTGCCAGCAATCAGGTACGACAAAAGCCTTCATGCACAAGGCTCCAAAACTTCAGGTATATAGAAAGCGCAAGTAATAGCGTCAAGTGCTTGTCAGATGAGGGAACGACGCACTTCACTGCCTGCTTGCCCATTTAACTCAATCTTGAAGCATTCCGTGAGCTTCGGGTTCTGCAGAAAGACGGGTCAGGCTCCAAGTGCAGAAAGTGCAGAAAGATGGGTCAGAATTCAAGTCACGAAGCTTAATCACACTCACCTACGGTCACCCTCAGCAGATCTGCAGTATTGTGAGTGCCGAAATTCAGCCCGTTGATCGTGAAACTCTCGTTTCGAGTCCAGGTTGGGAAATCTGGAGCCCCGTCTATGTGAAGCTCGGTGACGACGGGGGCTGCACAAGCAGAAGCATTAAATCCTTCACTATTTCTTTGTCCTTTCAAGCTGAGCCAACGGGCTGTTGCTCTCCTGCGTCGCTCTCCTGCAAACTGGAACAGAGAAGAAAGAAAAGCGAGCGCTTACAAGGAAAACAGGTGTGTTGGTGGCATGATCTCGATGGGGCCAGACTGAGACGCTTTTCACCATCTAAACACGGCTCTTCCTCTCAAAACCGCCCGCCTGCGCGCCAGTCCATAGGAAGATGATCAAAGAGAAAAGAAGCAACGGCGTACCTGCATAGGAGAACGGTGCCTTTGACAAGCCGGAGCGGTTGCGGAGGGTGAGATGTTTCTCGGACCCGGATCCCGGCCCCACATCATCCACGGCCACACGGTCGGCCTGGGCGCTCACGACAGTGCACTCGACCCCGTCTGAAGCCCGAACGGACACCTCTCCCACGCCGAGGCTGGCGCCATGGAGGGTCAACCTCCCTCCGCTAGTGGGAAGCTCCGTAGGAACCACCCGCTCGATGGTGGGACCTGGATTGAAAACCAGTTTTCAGAAAATGTCCTGCTGAAAACCAGGGCGAAACCTTCACTCTCACGGAGCAAGCACCTACTTCTGGTGACTCAAAACTACTCGAAAAAGCTCGCGCAATCAAGAAGAAGCAGGCTGACCGTCACCGAAAGATCTCCTTGTCTCCTTGAGAAGCGTTGGTCTATGCAGATGCGTCAAATACAAAGAAGACCGTCAACGAAATCGAGACCAGAATTCGACCACAGCTCAAGCAATATGAGACATTCGCACCTTTGTAAGCGAATCCTGGCAGCACCAAAGGCGGCAACTTGATGTCAAACACCACAGGAGCGCGCGGACTGCCGTAGCTGATGTCGACAACCGGGGTGATGGCAACCGTGAGGCGAGACCCGGAACCAGGAGGGACGGTGCAGATCAGCACCGAGTCGGACTCGACTCGGACAGACGGGCATAGCTTGCCGTCGACGCTGGCCTCAAAGTAGAGCCCCGGAACCGGTGTCACAAAGCCTTTTCCCGTAATCGTCAGAGTCGTGCCCCCTTCCGGAGGCGCGAGAGCAGGTCGGAAGCGGCTCATTGAGAAGCCTTGAAAGAAAATCCATTCGAAGTCAGCACACAAACCTCTCTTCCTCTCAGAAAAGCACCGTTGGAGACATAGAGAGAGACTCATCAGGGCTGCAAATGATGCCACCACAGTTTCTTTGCAAAGTCAGGTCCACCTCCTCCACAAGTACCCCAAACCCGAAATGACCACACTCACGAGTAACCAGATTATGCCCGCGCCCTATGCACGACCGTGCCTTTTAGCGACAACTCTCATAGCCAGAAACAAACAACCTACCTTTCTCAAGTGCCTCACGCGACAGCCTGGCTGCAGCAAGCAACTGGCGGAGACGGTACCGGAGGCGATATCGCTTGATGACGGCGACGCTCCGCCGCCTCAAGTAGTCACCACAGGGTTGTAGATCGATCCCCCGGACCTTGAACGCTGAGCAGTACGCAGTGTGGTTTCCTTCGGCGTCTCTGCAGGAACCCCGCTCCTCCGCAAACTGCTCACACCAACTAATCGGAGAGATGTGGTCAGCAGGAAGCGGGGCCTCCTGAAGGTGGAAATTCGGATCTCCACCTTCACGAAAGCCATCCCCGCTCAAAAGGAAGAAGATCGGCTCCGCGAAGCATTGGCAAACCTCGGAGGGGACTTTGCAGGAGCACGTATCAAGGCATTTGCAATCGCACTTTGTCTTGCAATCTTGGCATGTACAGAAGCAGCGACACGCGCAATCTGTGGCTCTCTTCACAAGACGAGGGAAATCTAGTTCTCTCCTTGCAGCATCACTCTCATACACGAACAAAAACTTCGAAGCGAGCCCCTTCTGATGGATTGTGCGAAGCATCTGATTGAAGAGTCTGCGCATCACACTCGTCAAACCGAAGACACAAGCGAAGATGGCCAAATGGGGAATGACCGTGGGTCGAAACGAAGAGTCAAACTTTTTCCTGCCTACAAGATTCTGCTTGCTACTGTTGATGAAGTCACGAAGGACAATGTCATGTACAAGCTCGGAAGTGCGGGTAGTGTCAATGACGTTCAGATTCTTATCACTTCGCTTAGCGTCAGCTTTGACTTGCTGGTGAGCTGACTCGCCATCCTCTTCAGACACAACGGGGAGCGGAAGATCATGATTGCTGTAGAAATCAGGAATGTGACTTATGTACAGGTGAGGATGCAACGCACGCATTTTGGGTTTTCGCAACTTCTTCTCTTGTGCCCGCACCGAAGCATCCAGGTAGGCAGTCATTGAGAAAGTCAAATTGTTGACGACGTACAAAGTACAACGCAGCCGGTCAGTGGGAGGGGAAGATCTATATATAATACAAAATGAGATCTCTAAAGTTAGGAGCGGCATCATGCCGCGGCGATCAAGCAGGTTAGCAAAAAGCTCTTCGCGGCGATTGACCAAGCGACGAATCTTTGTTACATTGTGGGCAAGTCCAATGTGACTGCCTTCTTTTTCAGCATCTTTGACGGTGATATCGGTGTTTATCAAGGCCTTATATCTATGGACCAATTCCTGGGCTCCCCCCTTTCCATCCAAAACCTCTTCAGAGTCTTCCTCTTCACCAGCCATGCGCCCAATCTCTGATCTCTGAACAGTGCCTAGAACAGCCTTTCCCATAGTTCCCAAAGAGTGCATGATTACAGGGACTGGTTCTGGACATTTCAACCTGTTGGCAGTGCAAGCCTGACTACCCCTAAACTCCATGGGGAGCCCGACTACATGGAAGCACAGCCTTTTGATAAGAGTCAACAACTTGGCCAACCGCGACTTAAAAATTGGATTGGTGTGACGATTGCATGCATCCAACCAAGACTGCCCCTTTTCCCTCCAACCAAACCCAGAATTTTCATCTCCAAGAATTTGGACCAACTCTTCTTTTGTTACAGCACCCGACAAAGCTTTCTGCAGCTCAGGAAGCTTTGTCAACAAAGACGTTCCTACTTCTAGAGCTGCTTTTGCATCATCCAGAACATCTCGTGCGGCTGATGCCGACTTGCAGGCTTGCAGAGAGTCAAACGAAACAGACATAGAAAGACCAGAAAGCAGCTCCAACTGGTCTTCAAAACTGAGTTCAAGCAAGAAGTTGCCGACTCTTGATGGAAGAGCATCATTATTTTCAACAAAAGTAGTCAAGGCAGACGTGACATTGGGAAGTGAATCTTCTGGGCAGGTGGACTCGACTCCTTGCGGGACAACGGCTGTCAAGAAACTCAAAAACTCCTGGGAAAGAATGGCGGATGCATCTGGATTATCTGAAAGAAAAGCACTGGCTGCATCGCGAAGCTTGGGAAGCTCAAGTTGCGCCACAGTTGTTATTTTCGAAATGAGCTCAATGCGTGCTGTGAGAATCTCTACGCTTTCGACCTTTGGCAGTGACTTACAAAAATCCTCACTGCAATTAGCCAAAGCGATAATGGAAGCAATATGATTGAGAAAAGTTTTCCAACAGTCTTTGTGGAGCTCAGACGAGCGGGCCTGCCCATCGTACGCAGCAACATCAAGCAACGCATATTCTACTGTACAACACGGGCACAAGATGTCAATCCCTAGATAACCATCCAACCCTTTTGCATCACCGGTCACAAAATCCACCTCTGCTCTTAACTGGGTCTCTTGTCCATCAGGATGTGCAAAACGCAAACCCACAGTGCGAATGTATCTCTCAAAAATCAGCCTCATGTCACCTACAGTCAGCCTGTTTGAAAGCCCTTCTCAGTTTCCAAGCGCAACCTTTCCTCATTGGTCAAGAAGACCTCAGCCCCAAAAGCTTTGGTCTCCGAGCCAAAAGCTTCAAAGACCCGCTCAAACTTCGTCACTCTGCCCACAATGGCATCGCTGATCAATCGGACGCGGTTGAAAGCTGCAGAATGCCCAGCAACTGGCGTAGCATCATAGAACTCAACAGCCGAAGCATGCACTGGGCCAGCAGTTGGTTGTAACCGGCCCATGGCGGCCATATCTCCAAGCACTTTCTCACCCCAGAGCCAGGGCGCTGAAAACCTTCCACCTGGTGACTTCTTGCGCACCCGCTGGACAAAAAGAATCTGCTCAACAAGCGGAGGCACAACAAAAGGCTGTCCTGATAAAGCTAGGGCCCTTTCCACATCCACATAATCAATGCTCTCAAAATTGATCTCGCTCTCAGCAAACTCTACTATCCAGGATACAGATTCTTGAGATTGACCATTCAACGCCCTAGCATTTTTTATCTCATTGTCCTTGTGTACTTTGGAAGCGGGCAGACCCTTGGCAACAAACCACGCTTGGATGTCACCTTTGACAACAGAAGGGTGAAGATCAAGCAACCGAACACATCTTTCTGCAAGTACTCTCTGGCCGCGTGCGCAGAGGTACTCTGGAGGAGAAACATGATCAATGAAGAAGCCTCGAACCAGGGTTGACAATTCTCCAGCTTGCTTTTGGATGTCACTAACAATGGGCAGAAAGTTTGGGGCGGTTTCACCCTGACTGTACCGCTTCTTGACTCGCCGATTGACCACATAGACAATGCGCAAGGGCTGACCGTGCAAGTCAACCAACCTGATGCGCACAGCAGCAGCATCTGCTGGCGTATCAAACACAAGCAAAAATGAATTGCCCCTACCATGACTTCCGACGGCTTTGACGAAAACAACAGCTCTTGGCTTTGGCAACAGGTTTTCTTCCAAGTAGTTCTCAAGGATTTCCGACCACACAGTGATATCTCGACTGATCTCCCGCTGATTCTCAGGATTGTTCATGAAAGAGCGAGACCAGCGAAAGACACCAGCTGATGTGCCAACCAATGATGCAGAAAGCACTCGTGAGCAGCAACTTGGTTCAACTTTGACCAACTCGCCAGTCCGCGGGTCAGCATACTGAAAGGGCTGCCGGGCTTCATACATGACCATCAAGCGAAGTTGGTCGTAAACATTTAAAGACTTGCAGGTCGACCAGGCTATGTACACGGCCATCTTCTGCCATCCAGCAGCTACTTCCTCACGCATGTCTTTCCTGCCTAAAGCATATGCGGCTTTCACCAACAGAGTCACACGTTTCTCAGCATCCTTCTCAGAGTCAATATCCCGCATCACCTGCCGCGTCTCATCATTCAAATTGTAAGCATCATAATCATCTTCAGCACCCAAGTCAAGAAACTCATCCTCATCGCATGTTCCGGCTGCTGGCTTGTCATCCTCCATGAAGAGGAGGGGCTCGTCACCAGCATCTAGAGAACTAGGTGGGCTCACAGATGTCGTGAAAAGGTTGGGCAGCTCATCATCTAAAGCATCCAAGAATTCATCCTGCATCTCTGCAGGCTGCGTCTGCTCACAGTGGTCGTTTGCTTTAGGCAAATCAGCATTATCGTCTCCAACAGCATTATCACCTTCAACATGATCTTGAGAACCCGCCAGCAAGGGACCACACTGCCAGCACCCAGTCACACTTGGCGCAAACCACAGATCACAAACAGCATCAGGTTCAACCATGGAGTCCCTTGAAATTTGTTGGACAATGTTGCCTTTACATTTCTTGGCAGCTGAAACTCGAGCTAGAGCACGCCACAATGAGTCAGGCGTCTGATACTTGTGTGGTATGTCACCAGCACCCAGCACAAAATGCATATCGATGCAAAAAGCAGCAAAAGCAAGCCTCTTCTCGCGGATTGTACTACGTCCTATTTCGTTCCTCTAGAAACTGCCGCCCATAGTAACACACCAAACAAACTCGACATCATAGCACGAAGGAAAAGTAACCAGAAAAATGGCTAGAGTTCCAACAACCCTCATCTCAGCAAGCGTCACCGGGGTTTCTGGGTACAGAAAACCATGAAAGTAGGCCTTTCGCGTAAAAGCAGGCTCCATGACCGTTGAGGTTCCGCTCAAGCAGAAAGTAATGACCACCAAAAGCGAGCACAAGAGAATAGTAGACAGCCTCATGTGGGCACCCGATAGCATGGAGGATTCTCACCCGAGTCTTCTGCTCCTCCTCACTCCCCTGTCCCCCAGCAATAGGAGCTAGATCCTCGCCCAAGTCT